GGACGTCAGATTTACGTCGTATTTTGGTCGCCGACGTCGTGACCAAAATCTAAGGGTAATCCGACGTTATTTTAACGTCATGTGTTTGCTGGGACAAATTTTTCTCACTAACCAGATAGAAAAATCCTTAAATGTTACTAAAAATAGCGGTGTTGGAAAATCTTATCTCACATGGGCTTATCTCACACTCAACGTGCAGCAGTTCTTAATAATACGCGATTCACTCCTATTTTAACAAAAATTAAACGTCAAAAGGTCAAAATGTATTAAAAATGTGTAAGCTAATCTATTAAATTGTCTACGGAATCAAAATAGGTTGATATTAACTTTCACACTGCAATGAGTCCTACTCTACCTAGATCCGCCCTTTCCAATAACGATCTGTTACTAAAAATAGCACACTTTAAAATATCGAAACGTTCTTCGTAAAATCGGATATTATGACACTTTGCCTGAAAAACATTCATGTTTTTTGTTATGATAACGATGCTTTTTGATGACGAATCTCATTTTGATATATTTTAATTGAATATTCGGCCAAAATAACCGAAAAAGTAGAAAAATCTTTGCAAACAGTAAACGCTTTTTTGTCAACCATTGAAGTATGGACTGAATTCCTTATAAACACTTATATTATGGCACTTTCCGTTTTTAATATAGATGTGTTTCATCATGATAACCTTGCTTTTTCATGAGGGGTCTCATATGAATTTATTTTCATTAAATTTTTCACACATAAACTTGGTCAGAAGATTTTTTTGCGGACGTACATAATGCTTTTTAATCATAGAAAGTCAAGCGCCTAAGCCCCGCCCCCTTTTCAAAACTAGGTACGTTGTAATGGGCGTAGCAAGTAGATTCACTGATATTTGTGTGTTCAGGTGAGTGAGAAAAATAATCAACCATTGGGTTAGATAGAGGATAGGGAAATCCCAACCCTCGGGCAATCGGTTCCATCGGGAACTCGCCAAGGCTCGTTCCCGATGGAACCGATCACCCTCGGGTTGGGATTTCCCTATCCTCTATCTAACCCAATGATAGATTCTATTAATCTCGAGTTGTTTATTGTTTTACAAGCTACGCTAACTCCCGAATCTATGTAACCGAACCACCTGCCACCCATAAATATATTTTATTATCATAAAATGATTTATGGCAGAGGTGGTTCATATAAATTTGGCGGAAGCACCTTGCCCTTTGTGTTATAGTAATTACAGTTTAGGGTATTTACAGTGCAGCCATACTCTTTATTGTATAGTATTTACAGCTTAGAATATTTACAGTAAGCTAGCAGCGTAACGCATGTCTATATTTGGATATAGTTGCACATGCGCACTCACTCATTTCGTTGAACAAAGAAACAAAGCGCGTGGCTTTCATTCCTGTACAACTTTTGATAGTTTCACATGAAAAATTTAGTTTTCCACCACCTCCCTTTCCTCCTTGGCCTCCACAATTATTTTCTTTGAAGAGCTCCTAAATTTTTGTCTCCTTCGTTACAATTTTTCATTTTTCTGTTTTAAAATTGTACAAATTACTGTTCTTTTACAACGAGATACACATAAAGACACATTTATACACATTTGTATGTATTCAGATGTTTTCATATTTCAGGATGGAATTTGTTCATATTTCTGTTTGTTTCTCTCTATTATGATAATTATGTTTTAATGTTTGTTGTATGGCGGAATTTGTTTCCCCAGATAAAACAATAAGTTCTACTTTTAATATGTCTCTGTTATTCTAGTCATGTTTAAATGTACTATAGTATACTTTGTTTACGGCTTTAATTAAGGCAGCACACCACACTAAATGAAGCCACAGCTTCGAATGGCCAGGGAGGATTTCATGGATATAGTGACTATTGTGGATTTAAATGACTGGTTGTCTTTAAAATGCATTTTCAGCATGAAATTTGTTTTTGTGACATGTAATATGATCATTGGCAAATTCGAAAACATGGTTAGAAAGCACATGCTAATAATTATAGATGTCAAGGCCGCCACTGTTTGTAAACATTGCTTTTAAACAGCATGCTCGGTGAAAACAAGTAATTTTGCAGGGGGGTACAAACTTTCAGCAATAGCAAAAAATCTACAAGGCCAAGCACCTATTTCTTTGTGATATTTTGCATGCATAGGGAGTTGCTAAAGCAGTGACAGAGTTTCTGTAGACCGTATATTTGCAGGTATTTTTTGCCGGAGGGACGAAAAATGTTGTTTTGGGTCTCGGACCACTATAGATTTTTGGCTTTTACGGAATGAATTGGAATTTTTTTAACTGCCTGACTGTTGCACATGGGATGATTTCATTACAGATTTGCAATGTTATGACATATATGTTCTTAACAAAATGTGTTTTCTTTTTCCAGGTTGTGTAGTTTGGGATCAGATCGATTTATCAGACATATTGCTTGTAGGACATTGACGGCAGAAACTTGAAATTTAGTGTGGAGTGCTGTCACCTAAGGTGATTCCATAGAAATGCTTTTAGTTTCATTTCTCAAAGACTTTTTTTTATTTTTTTTTTTTGTGCATTATGAATAATATCTGTCATATTTTGCGGTTCAGATAGGAATATCCGTCCCTCGGGACGGATATTCCGATCCGAACCGCAAACATGTCAGATATTTTTTCTTGCATATTCCATTATAATTTAATTTTTTTTATCTTTATTTTCAATGAAATTTTTTGTCATTACAACCGTAACTACTTTCTTACAACAGCGTATGAATTACAAAATCATTCATAACGGTAAAATGACATCATCTTTACCGTGCCATTGTACAGCACGCGACTTAACCGCTCCACGAAAAAAAAAAAATCCGTATTTATAGAAAAAACACTTGAATACCCACTATATAAGTAATGAGTGGAGTAAATGAGCTATCATACATTTCATCAAATAGCTATTCATTATTTAACCTTTTACCCCATGAGCATATTGTGAAAAATGGCCGTTTTCATCGAAAAGCCTCCTGTTACAAGTTCACACTGTTATCAAACTATGAAAAAGGCTTCAATACTGATGAAACTTGGCACATATGTTGTCTGAACCATAAGCTTTGTAACAACATGCTCAATCTTAAATTTCCTGTTACCATGGCAACGTATCAAAATTGCGAAAAATCACTAGTTTGCATTGTTTTTTCCATCAAAACTGATTTCAAAGTGCTGCAACTTCTAAATGCAATGAAAAAGAGTAAAAGGCTTTTCAGCGTTGGTTACACGTCACCTTAAGATCGACCTGAGGCCATTTTTAGCCTGTCACATGTCCAAAATTTTCTTGGCGATGAGGGGGACTACCACCCCTTCAAACCCCCAAACAGAAGGGGGTACATCCCTATTCTGGCAACCCCCTGATGTATCATTTGGATGGGGGGCCGTGCCAAAAAAGTGGTTACTTTTTTAACAACATTTCTCAAACTTAAATTCAAAATCTCAAATTTATATGAGGGAAAAGGTTAACGAAACTTTGAAATATCAAAAAAAGAGCAAATAAGATGTACATCAATCTCAAATATTTTCGCTCTTTAAAGGGAACGTCCTGTTGTTTTCTTATCTTCATTTTTGTTATAAATGAACGAATTTAATAGCTATAATTCATACGAATATTTGGGCATAAAAAGACTTTGGACAAAACCTTCATGCGACATTACGTTGTGAAACAGCATCATGATTGCCTAACGTGAAAATGATTTTAATCTTAAAATGATCTTAAAAATAAGGCATTTGTTTGCTTCACCTCTGTTATTAAATGATGTATTTGGTTTATGCTTGGACAAAGCGACATTTTAATAGGAGCAAACTTTCAATTTATGTTACTCAAAAACTGACCTTAACCATTGACAGACATTCACTTATAAAGGCCTCTATCAGTGAATTTTACACTTGATAATAAATAAAAAGTTAGGTTTTGTCCATGAGCTGATCATTTTTATCAGAAAAATTAAAGATGTTTGCAAGGCCTATTTATCAAACGCAGTGATAGTGTAACGTGCACGGGCTAGCTGTTATATATATAATTTTTCTTATGGCTACTTTGCCAGTTGATTGGTTACAAATGATTATAAAATGATTTATTCAAACTTTGGAATCAAGTTTAATTAACTAATGTTATAACAGTAATGTGCCTTTATAGTTGATATGCTTCGCATGAACTTTATATAAAATTAGGGTGACACTTTTAAGCTATTTCATATATATAGAAAAACCACTTGGATATCAAGTTTTCAATACTTTAGTAATAACAATTACACCTAACGCAATGTTGAATTGATGCAATTGAAATACTTCGTAAATAGTGCAAGAACCCAAGTAATTTAACTAAAATATTTATTAATTAATTCTGTGGTGTTGACACTTCGGCAGCTGGACAGAGACTGACTGTCAGCAGCTTTGAGCTCTATTTATACCCAATAACGTAGCTGTATTTAATAATCGTTTGGTGAAGTTGAGGATCTCAAGCATCCAAAAGATATTGATAATGTTTCGAATATTGGTACGAATGGCATGAGTTCGAATGATTTTAAGGACGAATAGTTCTGACATTTTAGAAATAATAAAAATATGCCCCATTATATCAAATTATTGCTACAAATAAGTTGTTAAATCTATTAATTTAGTTTTTATGTATTTCTTACTTATTTATAAAAGATCAAACTCTATTTTTAAACACAAGAAAGCATATTTGTTTACAATTTAATTTACCGACAATTTAGGTACAAAACCACTAAATATCATTACAGAATCAAGGCAGAATAGAACAATCGTCACATTACCCCTGTCTCTCAAAAATCATGCGTCCCGCATGATGCATATAATTTAAACTAGGCAGAATAGAACAATCGTCACATTACCCCCGTCTCTCAAAAATCATGCGTCCCGCATGATGCATATAATTTAAACTATATTACAACTTTTACGCAATAAAATAACCAAAGACATATGCGTTTATATATATTTTTTTTTTTAATTCTGCTTATATCACAAGAATTATCATATCTTTATAAACGAGACATATAGTTCCATATCTGGATCAAGATCACAGTCTTCTTCTTCCACATCTTGTTTCTTAACTTGTTCACCTTTATTTAACTTGAATCACTTTGTCATCTTTGAAAATCAGACTCTAGCCCGTGTTTTATTTTCATATGTCTCTTCAGATACTGTAATTTAAGGAAAACCTTACTACATCTTGTGCATGTTCTTCTTTTTTCATCTCTCTTTCTACATTCAGTTATATGTCCTTCGAAGTTAACAGTCTCCGAAATGCTCGTCTTACATACAGGGCACAGTGGTTGCATAATCTGGTTTCCATTTTTCACACTGCCTCCTTTGCTTTCGCTTGTCTTTGTCCCCGCCATTGAAGTACTTAAAATAGAACTTTCATAATGCTTAGCCCTATCTCGATTTTTACGTTGTTTTCTTTTTGTTTCTACTTGAACATTATCTTTCTGCTTTACTTCTGGTCCTGTCTCTCTACATTTGACAGTCGTAGATTCAGAAGATTTATCGACTTCATCGGATAGATCAATGCCAAAGCACCCTATTTTACCGGTACAATATAAATTAACAATATGCCCTTTCAATTTCATTGTATTTCTAATAACATCAATACAAACACCATACTGTTGCATAAAATCAAGACCTAAAACAACATCATTTCCGATTTCAGCTACTACAACCTTGGTCTTATAAAGGTGTCTTTTAAACCTCAGGTCTATCTCTGTTTGTCCCTTGACTTTTAATAGATCACCACTTGTTGATGATACAGAAAGTTCAAAAGGTGTAATTTTGTTCTTGCTCTTAAGTTTAAGCCAAAGATTTTCTGAGATAACAGTAACGGTAGCTCCTGTATCTACTAAGCAATTGACTGACACATTACCAACCTTTCCATAAGCATATAAACCGGCCATTAAATGTCCTGGCGAATTGATATTTTGTTTGTCATTTACGCTCTTTGTTGTTTTGTCAGTTGCGTGAGTACTTTTGTTTTGTAAATTTTGTCCATGTACTTCATTACAATTTCGCCCTGTACGATTTCTTCTTGTATAACCACTATCAGATCGCTTATAAACAGAGGTATTAATGTAAGGTTTTCTTTGTCTATTTTCATTGTAATAACGATGGTGAAAGTTCTTTTGTGAAAAATGTTGTATACGCCTTTGATCATAACTATTCGGTGTCTTAACATATTTGTTATCTTGACGTTCATATCTTCCTTGACGCTGCATCTTGTCAACACTTTGTTTTAAAGAAGATACAACAGTTTGAAGTTCTTCAAACTCTTCATACAAGTTATCTGTCTGTATAATTCTGATTATTCCTTGCTGCTTCTTTTCAGCCCTGTAGAAAGCTTCCAGTTCTACAGCATGCCTTACTGCATCATTCAAATCAATGGGTCTAGCTTGTTTTATCTTGAGACGCATGTCTGAATTTACAAGTGCGTCTATAAATTGTTCTTTAGCCAAAGTGTCACGAACATCTATAGGAGCATGAGGGTACGCCAAGTTTGCAAGACGACGAACATCTTGTCCAAGTTCAGCCATTGATTCAGTAGCTTTTTGATGTCTATCTCTCAACTGAACTCTATATAACTCTGTCTGATTTCTTGGTGAAAATCTATCTTCAAGTGCTCTCACAAGTTCCTCATAATTGTGTGTCTTTGTTGTCAAATTTCCGAACACTCCTTGAGCTTGTCCTCGTAAAGATACAGATAAGTATAAACCTTTCTCATTTTCATTCCAACCATTCAAACTTGCACAAGCGTCAAAGTGTGCTTTATAGTTTGTCCATTCACAAGTTCCGTCATAAGTTGCAGGTTTCATAAAAGTAGACCTTGAATCTTTTACTTTGTAATCAAAACTTTTGTCTGAAGTTTGATTGTTATCCAATTTCTGTTGTTCTTTTGGAGTTTCAGGGGGTAGCAAGTCAACAATCCTCCGTCTTTGGGTGATCATTCTGTCTTTCACATCCCTCTCATAATTTTCACTTTGAACAGGCAATGAAGGCAAAAGACGTCTAGGCTTTGAGGTAGTCTTTCTACTTGGTGTAAAACCTTCATAAGTATTCTCTGTTTTTACCATAGCAGGTGTTGATGTAGCCAGCTCAATACTTGTCTGGTCAATTTGTCTTTGAAGACTATCAATCTCTCTCTGGAGTTTCAGCCTACGATTCTCATTCCTAAGATTTTCCATTTCATCGTACATATAACAAAAGTCTTCATCGGACCATTTACTTCTATACTCAGCCATGTTCTTAAAAGTCTAGGGTAAGTAAGCCTATCTTAAGCTAGAAGTGTCCCATGTTGGGCGCCAATTTTGTAACGTGCACGGGCTAGCTGTTATATATATAATTTTTCTTATGGCTACTTTGCCAGTTGATTGGTTACAAATGATTATAAAATGATTTATTCAAACTTTGGAATCAAGTTTAATTAACTAATGTTATAACAGTAATGTGCCTTTATAGTTGATATGCTTCGCATGAACTTTATATAAAATTAGGGTGACACTTTTAAGCTATTTCATATATATAGAAAAACCACTTGGATATCAAGTTTTCAATACTTTAGTAATAACAATTACACCTAACGCAATGTTGAATTGATGCAATTGAAATACTTCGTAAATAGTGCAAGAACCCAAGTAATTTAACTAAAATATTTATTTAATTAATTCTGTGGTGTTGACACTTCGGCAGCTGGACAGAGACTGACTGTCAGCAGCTTTGAGCTCTATTTATACCCAATAACGTAGCTGTATTTAATAATCGTTTGGTGAAGTTGAGGATCTCAAGCATCCAAAAGATATTGATAATGTTTCGAATATTGGTACGAATGGCATGAGTTCGAATGATTTTAAGGACGAATAGTTCTGACATTTTAGAAATAATAAAAATATGCCCCATTATATCAAATTATTGCTACAAATAAGTTGTTAAATCTATTAATTTAGTTTTTATGTATTTCTTACTTATTTATAAAAGATCAAACTCTATTTTTAAACACAAGAAAGCATATTTGTTTACAATTTAATTTACCGACAATTTAGGTACAAAACCACTAAATATCATTACAGAATCAAGGCAGAATAGAACAATCGTCACATTACCCCCGTCTCTCAAAAATCATGCGTCCCGCATGATGCATATAATTTAAACTAGGCAGAATAGAACAATCGTCACAATAGTTCCAGTCGTTATGATATACGGTATCTTTAATATATGTGTATGTGATAAAGCTATAACAACATTTTTTTAAAAACGTTTTGCATATTTTCAGAATAACTTCAATTGAAGATGGAAGTGTCTGGAAAAAAGAGAGACCCCACTAAAGGTTATTCAAGATCTGCAGTTGGGGTAAATGCACAGATATATTGTGACCCATGTTGCAAAGATGGTATAAAATTAACCGCACATGGCTTCTGCAAGAACTGTATGGAACATTTATGTGAGAGCTGTTACAAAACGCATAGAAAACGAGCGCCATGCAGGAACCATGTTCTACTAGGCAAGTCTCAGATGCCAAAAACCCAGAGTTCAGGACATCTTAAAGTTCCTAAGAATGACCTGACGAAACAGTGTCGGCTACATAAAGGTAAACTGATTGAGTACATCTGTCATGATCACAATATCTTCGGCTGTAGTCCATGTATAACACTGAACCATAGGAACTGCAAAGTAGACTACATATCAGACGTCTCCAAAGAGTACATATCAGACGTCTCCAAAGAGTACAAACCAGACGTCTCCAAAGAGTACAAACCAGACGTCTCCAAAGAGTACAAACCAGACGTCTCCAAAGAGTACAAACCAGACGTCTCCAAAGAGTACAAACCAGCCGTCTCCAAAGAGTACAAACCAGACGTCTCCAAAGAGTACAGGACAAGTGACGAGTACAGAGAGCCTCTACCATCTCTAGCAGCCCTTCAGAAACAGTTCCAAAAAATAATTGAAGAAACAAAGGCCAACAAAAAGAAAATCCTGCAGCACAAGTCTTTCGTGAAAGATGAAATTAAGAAGTTTCACCAAGAAATCAACGTTATGTTTGACAAGCTGGAAGCAAGTCTTGAGAAACGTGCTAATGATATATTTACCAAGGAGTCAACAAGAATGGAATCTTTAGCACTAAATTCTGTCAAATTGGAGAAAGATATTGAACAGCTTCGGAATGACATCAGCAAACTGGAAACGGCAAATCAATGCAATGCACCATTCATCCGTTCCAAAGAAAACAAAGAAACTATACAGAGCTACACCTCTGCTGAGGAACAAGCACACAAAGACAACTACGTTAACAGCTTTACACCAAATGTTGATTTAAAGGAAATACTCGAATCAGAAACAGGAAATGGTGAACTGCAAAAAAGTGACATCGTACGAAATGTAAAAACTGATGCAGGATACTTTAATACGCTTTGTGTCACGTATTCAGATGAAATAAATGTCAAAAGTCCGACAGATGACAGCGATTGTTGTATTCTGGGAGCAGTGTTTATTGCTAAGCATCGCATTGCATTTGTTGATTCGATTAATTGTGCTGTCAAAATAGTTGATACAAAGACGAAAAAGATAACTTGCGAGAAAAAGTTAAGCGAAAGTCTGAGTAATTTAGATTTACTTCCTGATGGTTTGCTTGCAGTATCTTTTAGTTGTTCTAAGATGATAACGTTTTTATCAATAGCTAATGGATTGTCTGAAGTCCGGCATCTTGAAGTAGATGGATGGTGTAACGATTTAGTTTACCATGATAATAGATTAATTGTTACATTCAAATTTTATGATAAGGTACATATTATGGATTTGGATGGCAATATTTATCAGTCGATAAAAAAAGATTTCTATGGTAATGAATTTGAATTCCCATATGTTACAGTTGGTGTTGGGAAATTCTACATCTCAGACTACAGTACAAATACAATTACAAGTATGAATCTTAATGGAGAAGTATTGAAGGGGTACAAAGATGAACGCCTTCTTGCACCTTGTGGTATGGTTGTTCTTGATGACGGCTCGATATTGGTGTGCAGCAGTGGAAACAACAAAATTCTTTTGATATCAGAAAATCTTGAAACAACAAGAGTGATACTTGAAGGAAAGGACGGACTGTACTGCCCTTGGTCTTTAGCTTTAGATAGGGATAAAAACAATTTATATGTTGGGAGTGGTAAATTTTGTAACTTTCTAAAAGTATATGATTTGAATGAAATTTAAAAGGTAAAGGTCTTGTTTATTATAGTGTCACCCCTACTGAAAGGGCCAGCCATTTTGACTTATGAGACACCTTTTGCTTGCATACCATGTACCTCCCAATTCCTATCACTATGCCAGGAGCCAGGCGGATAGAAATCAGTAACCATTCATTTTAACTACCTCGCGGCTCACGAAGCGGCCATTTCGGAACGAGTCCCACGAGAAACATTCATCCTTCAATTAACGCTCCCCGTGGGGCTCGAACCTTCGACCTCCCGATCAGAAGGCGGACGCCTTAACCACTAGGCCAACGGTACCGGTAAATATATGTATAGGTATACATGTATACAAATTAACAGAAATTGAAAGAATGTGATTTAGACGCTCATTGCTGTGAAGAAATAATATGCGCATGAATTAATTCATTTAAACTATGTTCATTTATGAAAGAGCTTTCAACATTTGCTGCTAATTAATTATTGAACATGGACAATGAGGATGAGTTGTTATTAGTTTTTGCATGTAATAACCAAGTATTAATGTGTACATGAAAGTTTTAAACTGTGTATACTAATATATTGTGTACTAAAACTGATATCAGTATTTACAAACTCATATTTAATAATGAACACAAATTTACAAGATTTATGACCGCTCAGCATAACATAACTTTTGTGTTTGTGTTATTTTAGTTTCTTTTTATTTTGGGTGGTTTCATTATTCTCCAATTAATTAATGTTTAATTGCCCTTATGAC